AACCTTTATGTATACTTATTTAGTCTGCACACATTCTGTCTAACAAGGCATGCTGGGGCTTGTAGTGCCCCTCGGGAGCCGTAGTGTGAACAGCTATGGGGTGACACAGTCAGTGTGACAATAACGCACGCTGGTCCAGGCTACATGTCACCAACACACACAGATGGCCGTGTAACACTGACACACAGGCTGCCCTCAGAGGGAGGATTGTAATACCTACAGGGGGGAGGGAGAGGCCGGGCCTATACGTCCTGAGGCAGCAGTTAAAAGAGCCGCAGCCTAACCGCAGTGCTGGTGCTGCAATTGTTGTTTACATAATGACACAAATTTGGCAACAGGCTCCATTCACTAAGCTTTCACCATCCTTATCTGCCATAACTTTCTTTATTTGCAGCCATACACACTGCAAATCACAGCCACCGGGCTGAAAATAACGGTTGCTATGGTAAACAGAGTCCTATCGATAACATTGGAAGCGCGACCCGTTTTTATCAGTCAGTAAGTAAAATATCGACCAAATGATAACCCTGCTTGTTGTCCATAGCAACCAACACATTTCCCATAGTTACTTCCATCGTCCTACTTTGAAAATGAAAACAGGATTCTGATTGATTATCAAGCAATAGGAAGTGTTCATTAACACATTCGTTCGCTATGTATATCAGCCCGACGCGCCAGATATTTAATCATTACATTGAGATTTCAAAACGAACAGTTCGAGCTGGGGATCCAAGTCGTGGTCCAGGCGATCAAAAGGCAATTCATTTTTTTCTTCTTTCTCATAAGATCTGAAAGTGCATGGCCGGTCTTAAGGGGACCACACACTATACAATCTAATTGAAAAATCTCCTTTAGAACAGTGGTTCTCAACCTGTGTAACCTCCAGACCCACATTTTGTCCTTGCTCATTAAGTCGTGACCCAAGTTGCACTGCAATGGAACGCAGTGTGGGCTGCTGTGCTGTGACTGAGCTCCATCCATATGTGCATCCACTTGTACCGCTTCCTTGCGCTTTAGGCCTTCACACGTAAACTGCATATTACCATCACTTGTTCAATAAGCAATGTATGGTGCAGACTACAGTGACCCATAGCAACCTACCGGAATTAATTTCGCTACAACCAAACATGATGGGTTCGGTCAAAACTGCAGCAGACACAATCCAGAGCAGTGGTCTGTAATAACCAATCAGCTTATCTCTTAATTTTGTTCAGTTAAGCTTTGAAAATGAAAGTGAGAAGCTGATTGGTTGCCATGGGCGAATTCTGCTCCAGTTTTCATGAATTCCCCTCAATGTGTGTTTTTTTTGTTTTGTTTGGTGAACCTTTATGTATACTTATTTAGTCTGCACACATTCTGTCTAACAAGGCATGCTGGGGCTTGTAGTGCCCCTCGGGAGCCGTAGTGTGAACAGCTATGGGGTGACACAGTCAGTGTGACAATAACGCACGCTGGTCCAGGCTACATGTCACCAACACACACAGATGGCCGTGTAACACTGACACACAGGCTGCCCTCAGAGGGAGGATTGTAATACCTACAGGGGGGAGGGAGAGGCCGGGCCTATACGTCCTGAGGCAGCAGTTAAAAGAGCCGCAGCCTAACCGCAGTGCTGGTGCTGCAATTGTTGTTTACATAATGACACAAATTTGGCAACAGGCTCCATTCACTAAGCTTTCACCATCCTTATCTGCCATAACTTTCTTTATTTGCAGCCATACACACTGCAAATCACAGCCACCGGGCTGAAAATAACGGTTGCTATGGTAAACAGAGTCCTATCGATAACATTGGAAGCGCGACCCGTTTTTATCAGTCAGTAAGTAAAATATCGACCAAATGATAACCCTGCTTGTTGTCCATAGCAACCAACACATTTCCCATAGTTACTTCCATCGTCCTACTTTGAAAATGAAAACAGGATTCTGATTGATTATCAAGCAATAGGAAGTGTTCATTAACACATTCGTTCGCTATGTATATCAGCCCGACGCGCCAGATATTTAATCATTACATTGAGATTTCAAAACGAACAGTTCGAGCTGGGGATCCAAGTCGTGGTCCAGGCGATCAAAAGGCAATTCATTTTTTTCTTCTTTCTCATAAGATCTGAAAGTGCATGGCCGGTCTTAAGGGGACCACACACTATACAATCTAATTGAAAAATCTCCTTTAGAACAGTGGTTCTCAACCTGTGTAACCTCCAGACCCACATTTTGTCCTTGCTCATTAAGTCGTGACCCAAGTTGCACTGCAATGGAACGCAGTGTGGGCTGCTGTGCTGTGACTGAGCTCCATCCATATGTGCATCCACTTGTACCGCTTCCTTGCGCGCCCTGTACAGGTGCCAGGAGCCAGATTGTGATGTCACTCCAGTCCAGGCACCTCTACAGGACAGGTGAGGAAGCTGTAAGCAATGCAAGTATGGATGGAGCTCCCTCGCGGCCATACCCCCAGCCCACCTCAAGCTGACACTCAGCACCGGGCAGCATATTTTAAATGGCTGCTTGGCGCGAGAACTGACAGTGCTGCGCTAGGGGGAGGCTGAGGAACCTCTCACCTAGAAAAGTGGAAGGCACACGGGGACCCACTGAACACTGGGTCGCGACCCACTTTTGGGTCACGACCCACCAGTTGAGAACCAAGGCTTTAGAACATATATGAAGTGCAAAGGCCTGCTGGGTTCAACACAGATTTGGTCGATTGTTTAGGTTTGTCCTCATTTCTCTATCGTCCATTGAGGGCACACAGCTCTGAAGAATTCTGAGACATAGTGTTATGCTGCTGCCGCTAGAAGAAATGGACACTAGGCAAACAAATTGAAAAGCCTGTCACTTTAAGGACATAACCCCTTCCATCTGCCAGTTTCGCTTAGTGTCCTCAGGAGAATGGATGTCTCCTTCTCTACTGGTTTCTTATTTTAGTTTCTTTGTTGAAGAAGATTCTCCTACCCCGAAAATAAGACCTAATGTGTTTTTTTGAGCCAAAAAAAATATAAGACAGTGTCTTATTTTCAGGGAAACACGGTACTACCGAGAGCTGCTAGTTGATTCATACCGAATATTATTTAATCCTGGGAGTCTCTCCAGCTAGCTGACAAAACTGAGAGATTCATAGCGGAAAAGTTAAATCCTGGAAGTTTTTCTAGTTGTTATGAAGCAGGTCATCTCTGGTCTCAGTACTCTTGCCTCATCCTGAGGTGGTCATAAAGCAGGTCGTTTCTGGCCTCAGTACTCTTGCCTCATCCTGAGGTGGTCATGAAGCAGGTTGTTTCAGGTCTCAGTACTCTTGCTTCATCCTGTGGTGGTCATGAAGCAGGTCATCTCTGGTCTCAGTACTCTTGCCTCATCCTGAGGTGGTCATGAAGCAGGTCGTTTCTGGTCTTAGTACTTATGCTTCATCCTGTGGTGGTGATGAAGCAGGTCATCTCTGGTCTCAGTACTCTTGCCTCATCCTGAGGTGGTCATAAAGCAGGTCGTTTCTGGCCTCAGTACTCTTGCCTCATCCTGAGGTGGTCATGAAGCAGGTTGTTTCTGGTCTCAGTACTCTTGCTTCATCCTGAGGTGGTCATGAAGCAGGTCGTTTCTGGTCTTAGTACTTATGCTTCATCCTGTGGTGGTCATGAAGCAGGTTGTTTCAGGTCTCAGTACTCTTGCTTCATCCTGTGGTGGTCATGAAGCAGGTTGTCTCTGGTCTCAGTACTTATGCTTCATCCTCTGGTGTTCATGAAGCAGGTTGTCGCAGACGCTCTAAGTCCCTGTATCCTTTTCCAAATGATTTTGTTAAAAAATGGTCTATTCCTCCGGAAGTTGATCCTCCAATTTCTCATCATAACAAAGCATTGACTATTCCTATTGATGACGCACCTTCTTTTAAAGGTCCTATTGACAAAAAAAATTGGAGAATCTTTCTTATAACCATTTATTTGTTAACTGGTTTGGCTCTTCAATGGCTACGGTCCTTATTTCCCAGACTTTGGCTACCTAGACCAAATCTTTAAGTACAGAACAGGTGACTGCTGGAGTTGACCCACATTTTATTGATTGTGGATCAGATGACTGTTGCTTCTCATTTCATATGTGATGTATTTCTTGATGCTTTTCGTCTGTTGTCTCATGTGTCTGTATGTTCCTTGCAGATACGCAGAGCTATCCGGCTTAAGTACTGGTCAGAGGAACCCCAATGCAAAAAGGGACTTTTGCATTTACCTTATGTGAGAGGTCGTCTTTTTGAAGCTACCTTGGATTAGATTATTTTAAAAATCTACGGGAAGTAAACGTGAACACTTACCGTGTTTCCCCGAAAATAAGACACTGTCTTATATTTTTGGGGGCTCAAAAAAACACACTAGGTCTTATTTTCAGGGTAGGTCTTATTTTTTTTTTTTTAAATGTACAACAATCCACACTTATTCATGTACAAAAATATGGTAATCAGGGGTGTCGTACCTTTCCAAGAGCAATTTGGTAACCAATCGCTGCCCAAAATGAGCAAAGCGCGCTTTCACTATAGATTCCTCACAGGCGGAATGAATTTGGTAACACTCAGCCTGTGACAGGAGGCGGCGCTATAGAGGAGGCATCGAGTTATGCGGCTCTGCTCCCTCCGGTGCCGCCTCGCTTCCTCTAGCGCTGGCTTCGTTGGCACCGCTGATTCTCTCCCGCGGCTCTTCAAGTTCCCCCTTATGCCACCATCGGCCCTGGGAATGGTCACAACTAGGTCTTATTTTCGGGGTAGGTCTTATATTTTAGCAATTCCCAAAAATAGTACTAGGTCTTATATTCGGGGTAGGTCTTATTTTCGGGGAAACAGGGTACCTCAGATGTGGAACAATAGGGATTAGCGTTGTAAGCCTGCTGTTTATTCTTCGTCGGTTGTACAATTCTTTAGTTCTCAGTCGGAACGTCTTTCATTTCCAAACCTTTGGACCTTCTAGACGTCCTTGGCCATTAAAAAGCCTGCTTTAGCATGAAAGTCTGCTCCTGCCTTTTCTATCGGACTAACTTTTTGGGGGCAGTTCAAGATCTGTTGGATGTGGGTGTTATTATTCCCATTCTTTGGCAGAGAGTTATTATTCCCGTTCCTTTGGCAGAATGTTTTCAAGGTTTTTACTCAAACCTGTGAATGGTTCCCAAACCCAACGGAAGACTTCATTCTGGATTGAAAGCACTTAATGCGTTTGTACATATTCACAAATTCCAGATAGAATCCATTTGGTCGGTTGTCGTCTCTCTTGGACAAGGAGATTTTTTGGTTTCCATAGACATAAAGGATGTATATCTACACATTCCAGTATTCTCAGCTTTTCAGCATTTCCTTTGTTTTGCTGTAGACGACCTTTCATTTTCAATCTGTGGCTCTTCCCTTCGGGTTGGCTTTGGCTCTGAAGGTTTTTACAAAAGTTCTTGCTCCTGTGCTGGGATTTTTTTTGTTGTGAGGGCATTTTGATTATTGGATACTAAGACGACTTTTTACTTCAAGAACAGTCTCTTCCTACTTCGGAGCTCATTGTCTCGATTGTGCTACAAAAACCTTCTTTTCAGCCTCTCCAAGTCATTTATTAGCCTTTGTTTTTCAAAAAGTTTGTCTTTCTTATATCCATTACTTTGGGTAGAAGGGTTTTCGAGTTGTCTGCTTTGTTTTGTGGAGAAGCCTATTTGGTTCTCAAGGACAAAAGTGTTTGAAGACCACAGGTTTCCTTTTCACCCAAGGTGGTTTTGGCCTTTCATTTATATGAAGACATTGTTTTACCTTCACTTTGTCCAGCGTCTGCTCGTCCTAAGGAAATTTCTCTTCATCGTGTGGATGTTGTGCGGGCTGTTAGAGTTTATTTGTCAGTCACAGCTCCCTTTAGGGATTCAGATTCTTTATTTATTCCACCTGATGGTCCTAGAAAATGTTGTTCAGCTTCTAGATCTATTAAGTGGATTCTTCAGGTGGCCATCCAAGTTAATGAGTTGTAGAATAAAGTTCCTTCTTTTCCTGTTTTCTGCTCATTTTACTATGGCACTTAGTACTTCTTGGGCATTTCAGAATCAAGCTTCTGTTACTCACATTACAAAGCCTCAACTTGGTCTTGTGGTCACTCTTTTGCTAAGTTTAATAAAGTTGATGTTTCTGCCTCTTCTGATGCTAGTTTTGGCAAAAACGTTCTTCAGTTTGCTGATTGAGTATTTGAACTGGACCTTCATCTACCCGCCCCTCTGATTTTGACTGCTTTTGAACGTCCCTACATCTCATAATTCTCCAGAGCTGTGTCCCTCAATGGACAATAGAGAAAATAGGATTTTATACTTACCGTAAAATCCTTTTCTCCGAGTTCTTTGAGGGACACAGCTCCCTCCCCTCATTTTATTTCATACTGCTTGCTACAACTGGCAGCTGTGAGGTGCGAGGGGTTATGTCCTTAAAGTGGCAGGCTTTAATTGTTTTGCCTAGTGTCCATTTCGCCTAGAGGCAGCAGCATAACCCTACGTCTCAGAATTTTTCAGAACTGTGTCCCTCAATGGACTCTAAGAAAAGGATTTTACGGTAAGAACAAAATCCTATTACTGCATAGTTTTGGTAAATCTAAAGCTCACCACACATGTTAAAATCTGATTGTACAATCTCCTTTAGATCTACCAACAACCGTGTAGTGCAAGAGTCTCCCTGATTGGATACAAATTGATTGGATAGATTAGGTAGGTCACAATATTTGTTATGGTTGTACGTTGTATGATGTAACACAGTTGATAAATATGTTTATTCAGGGGTCATTTACTGTATAAGACAAGTGGGGCAAATTTAAATAAAAAGTCAATTTGTGCCCTTTAAAAAAAAATTACAAAAAATAAATAAAAATGTGACGCACGGGTTGGAAAAGAACAGAACATAGAACATAAAAGACAATTGTAGACCTCTGTCACGCTTCCAGCTCGCCCTCGTTTTCTGAACCCCCCATCATTTTATTTGCACAAGATGACTCCTGGTGAGTGCGGGGCAGTGCAGGTAATCCGGGGGGTGTAGACCTTATACTGCGCTATGTTGGAGGGCGTGTACGAACAGGGGATTATGTCTAAAGGAACTGCGGGGAAACGCTGTTAACTCTGAACCGTCACTGTTTCGTTTCGGACTCACTTACTGCACCTAATACTTCCTTAAAAAAAAAAAATAGATAAGAGGAGAGGAGAGCGTGGTTTTACGCATCCCCTTGGAATCATGGCACGTGAGGCAGAGGTTTGGATATTATGCAGCATCATGGGGGGAGAGGACTTGTACTTAAAGGGGCAGGCCCTACGCTGATCTCACAGGAAGATACAGCCTCGCCACCACCCTCCCCATTCAATGACATTTCTATCTTGCCTTCAGTTCCGATCGTCGCTCCATCGCTGCAATGTACGTAATGTGTGTGTGTTCATGGAGGTGTTGTGTCTGGGTGTATGTCATCATCTAGCTGTAGATGTGTTGTACATTGATCAGTCAGTGATTAGTTATATCTGATTATTGTATATTTATGCTTTCATATCTCTATCTATCTATCTATCTATCTATCTTTATTTTTCTTTGCTGGTCCACCTGTATTCCTATGTAATCCATCTCTGTATATGTGTAGTCTGTGCTCTCTCTGTATCTACCTATGGTGGCAAATGATCTCACTTTTTTCCTTTCAATCTCTCTATCTATGGCTGCAATCAATGTCTTTCTACTCTTTCTTTCTTTCTTTCTTTCTTTTTTTCTTTCTTCCTTCCTTCCTATGGTTTCCTCTCTCTTATCTATGACTGCAACTGAATTCTCTATGTCATCCTTCTGTATCCCCCTCTGTATCCCCTCTGTATCTTTCTATATCCCCCTCTGTATCTTTCTGTATCCCCCTCTGTATCTTTCAGTATCTCCCTCCGTATCCCCTTCTGTATCTTTTTGTATCTCTCTGTTGCGGAGACGGCAGTATATCAGATCGTCGTGCACGTTGTTCCCAGAGAATTGCAGAGCATGCATTAAATCCAGTCAGTAGCTGAACCATTGTGGGATGTGTGGGGGGGGGGAG